ATCAAACTTATAAAGCGGATTTCTCAACGAAGAGATGAACTTCTGCAAAAACAGACAAAACTTGTTTCCTTTGGGAACAGTCGCAAACACATGCTTCTTCCTTCTCAACTGCCACTCAATCACATTACAACATAGCAACCAAATAGAAGCTCTGTTCTGTTTGGGAGAAGGGTTGTTGATCACTATACAGTGGGGCTGCAATCTCTCCAGTTGCTGCCAAATACCATCTTGACCCTTCATAGTGGAAAAGTTGTATCCTGCCTTGAAATCCATAGGAGATGCAACTTTAACACCATTCTTTGAAAGGAACCAAGATAATCCACTGTTTCCATGAAGTAACTCGACAACATCAGGATGATCATCATTACAGAAGAAAAAGGACTGTTCTCCGAATTCGGCATCAACATACAGTTCGTGATCTTCACGTAAGTTCTCCGGATTCTCATCGTCTAATGCCGGAATGGAAACATCATGCCACTCATCGTGATCACGTCTAACCTTCGACTGATTCACACGTACTACTGCCTTACCAGTATTGGCTTGGACCATAGCTCCTTCTTGTCCAAGTACTGTGGCACGAACCCAACGTCCTTTATCCTTGAACTTTGATGAATCCTGAGTCCAAACAAAAACCTTCTCTCCTTGGAAATAAGGACCGTCACTTGGCATAGTCCTTCTTGCAAGATCTGCTCGAAGGTCCTGAGCTTGTCGTGCTTCTTGATGAGCTCTCAAAGCCACACGTTGTAGTTCCAAATTTGTACGATCTCGTGCGGCGGCATTAGCTGACAATTGCTCAGGGCTTGCGGTCTCAAGGTCAAAAAGATCTGGTGGACGTCTTCCAGTTGCTATCTCTATTGGTGAATATCCACTGATAGTCAACTGACAATTTCTTGCCCAAACTACCTTCTTGACCACTTCTCTGACCGTAACACCACGAAAACGTGGGTCATCCAGATCTACCTTCATAACATGCCACATACGTTTGAACAAACGTACAGCTGTCTCTGCTCGGTTCGGCCAAGGAGTTCTTGGCCCACAAGGACATTGTTGTATACCATGGAACCTGTAGTATTCAACAAAAGCATCGGTGAAAAAGGCTTCGTCTCCTACGATGGCCTTCGGAACACAATTGTTCTCATCAGACCACTGCCTCAATGCTTGGATGGTGGTTTGATCTATGAGGTCTTTCTGTGCCGTAGCCCAGAGAAGATTTGTGGCACCATCAAGAACAAGTAAGATGATATACTTGTTCTTGTGAAGTTCAACCTCACAATGATCAGCAAAAACAACATCACCAAAACATGAAGCTCTAATACCGGAGACTCTGGCTCGTGGCGGAGGTGCCACTGAAGTGTTACAAACACGGCAGTTCCTGACAACTGATTCATACTTCTCTAAAACAGAGTCAGGAAGCTTCAACATAGAAACACGTCTACGAAACTGAGTAGGACTCATATGGTAGTGCTTCACATGAAGCTTATAAAGCTCTACCTTGTCCTCCAGTCTCTGTAACATCTTCCTATATGCCGGTGTCATTGCAACAACTTCACTACCAGGTAATGGGATTGAAATCCGCCTAGGCTCAAGAGCGCCATCACCTGGTTCAAGTGGTTCATGTTTATCACTTGATGGTCCTTTTGATGCTTTAGGAATTTCTACAAGTTCACCTTCTGGCCTCTCAGGTGGTTCTGAGGGAGCATACTCCTCAAGATCATCACCCTTTAAATCATTCTGAGGCTCAGATGGTTTCGACTTGTGTCCTTTCCAAAATGGATCAAAACCCTTGGAAGTATACCGAAACTTTGGCGGCACGGGCTTTTCCGCGGCACTGGCTGGTGCACCTTCCTTCTCTGACGAGAAGCCTGGTTCCCTGTCCTTTGCAATGGGAACCTTCTCTGAGGAGGAGCGCACCACTGCATCGGGATCACCAATGCCACGGTGCTCAATGCCAGCCTTCCTGATCTTTAGATCTGGAATTTTGGCATCTGGCTTAAATTTAAAATTGTTCTACCACGCCGTTCATAGCCAAGTTGTAGGTCCTTCCATTTTGCCTTGCGCCAATCATCTGTCTTCTTGATTTCTTCTCCTCCTGCCTTCTTCTTGATGATTGTCAGTCGCAAGTCTTCCAGCAAGTCAGTGTCTACAGGACAGGACTTAGTTGCTGGGAAAAGAATTTTCCTGTAATCCTTGTGGTGACGTATCAGTTCTCTCTTGCGAACATCTACTTCCCAGAAATCAACCACAGTATATGCATGCTCAGCTTCACCTTCATCACTATTGTGTTCAACAGAAATATGGCCATATTCATAGTGAGTGAGGTGAGAGTAAAAACTCTTCTCACGCTGAGTCTGCCAACGCACGTCAGACAGATACCATGCAATATCTTGGAAGTCCAACACAAGATGAGTACTGGCTGCAACCTTCAACTCCAAAAATTTGATACCAAGAGGCACCGATGTCAGATAAGCATGTCGAGGTGTCAGCCTGAGTTCAAAGCCTAAGTTCCTCATCTGTGGCAAGCTCATAAGCAAAGGGACTTCTCCTTCTTCCACTATGTCGAACTCTGTATGGTGGATCGTCCATGCGCGATCATACATGTATATCACCAGTTTCTGAGAGCAAGTAGCCTTCTGGGAATTGGCAAAGTAAAACTTGCTCTTGGTAGACTCAAAAGAGTACCATAATCCACAATCTGGGTGATTGTCGACATAGTTGCAAAAATGGTCGACTGCTCGCCTTGATCCCATAGCTCTAGTGCATCCAATGTCCAGGGTTGCAATAGTTGGCGGGAAGCGATTCTCAGTCAAAAATGAAATAGCCTGCATCTCCTTCACTTCTTCCTCAGCGCTCATAAGCGCAAAGCCATCAGCGCTCATAAGCGCAAAGCCATCAGGAGCCTTTGTGAGCATCTCCCTTGACAAAGAGTACCTCACAGGGGCACCCATGCCATTGAAGATCGTCTCACCATTGTCGACCACGCAGTCAGCTTCATCTTGGCATGAGGTCATCATGCCTGACAGCAAGTCCACCTCACTGTCATGGACTTCAGCTGCTGCTGTCACACAATGTGCAAAGAAAACTCGTTGACCTCCTGATGCTTGTGAAGTTCTTGAAGGTGCAGGTAAAGAACGTGGCTGTTGTTGATTTGCATAGTTTGCATCTTGTTTGCCATCTCCTTTATCTTTTCCTTTTCCTTTCTTGCCTTTTCTCTTGCCTTTTCCTTTTCCTTTGTGGGAAAACCATGCTTCTTCAAGCTGTTGCCAAAAGTCATTGGCATCATCATATTCTCCTTGAAGATAGTCATTCATATCCTCGGCAAGAATGGCATCATATGCTCCTTGGGTTGACTCCCAAGTGTCCTCATAAGGATTCTCTTCAAGGTATTCATCTGGAAAAGTTGTCTGTTGCTCATCAGCAAAATGGCCTTTGCCTCGTCTCTTTCCTTTTCCTTTTCCACGAGGTCTGAAGAATCTACGGCCTGATCTTCCTTTTCCTTTTCCTTTTCTTCTACCTTTTCCTTTGCCTTTTCTGGCTCTTCTTCCTTGGAATCTCCTTTGGAACCATGAGAAGTTTTGATCATCATATACCCAAAAGACATCGTCCAGGGCATCTAAAAATCCTTCTGTTCCATCTTCTTCATCTTCGGCCCAATAGCCAAATGTACCATCGAGTTCTCCTTCGTCTAGTACGAGAAATGATCTTCTACCTCCAGCACCTGTCGGCTGCATCAATGGATTGTCTATTGAAGTCTTTGTTGTGCAGAACATCTCGATGAACACTGTCCTCAACTCTGTTGTAGTGTATTGCTGCAGGTACCTGCCACGATGAGTCATCAACGAAGTCAAAGTGTTTCGCTGGTCCTGAGACAAATCTGCAAGGGACAGCATGAGTAGGGCAATGAGATTCTCTCCTAAAGGAAAATCATTCTGATGAAGAATTCTCATATTGCCATTGACATTCTGCATGATTTCCTGAATCCTTTCTGCCGTTGGTGCTACTCCAGTCAACGCTGCATCTGCCTGCATCTGAGCAAGGACTTGGGGATGTGCTTGAGTGACTGGTTCTAACATGTCCATCCAACTGCTCATAAGCCTTTGGAGTAAAATCTGGAATCTTGTCATCCATTTCATCATGTCGGCTGATCCTCGATTGAATCGCACGAATTGCATAAACCTGTATAGGAATACATTGGTTGATCCTTTCACGAAATATGGTCGTAGTACTCGTTTGAAGTAATCTACTCCTGCTCCTGGTGGCTCATTAGCCTTCAATGAATCTCTGTCTAATACACGTTTGTATACTGCTGCTTCTCCTTCTAATCTGTTTCTCAAAGCTGGTCCTCTCTTCTCATCTTCCAGCTCGGTGATATCACACCAATCGTCTATGGCATCCTCATAGGAAAACCATGAAGTCTTTCCATCATAAGATGGGGGCACCTTTGTAGTGACCTGTGTTGTCATTGCTATTGCTGCTGGTTCTCTTCTCACATGCCTATTCACGTAGGCTGTTGGCTCATAAGCCACATCCGCATCAGGCTCTTCCCAGTCGTCAATCCAATCCATGGCCGTTTGCCCACAAGCAATTCTATGCCTAGGAAAGGAGCTCACCTGGGTCTTCCAGGATCACTGCTCCGCTACCACTGAAAGAGTGACTAGGGCGTACACGGTAGAGGTGCAGACCGCTAGTGTCTTTTGCTCACGCAGAGTCTTATCCTATTAGGTCCATTGACCCTCTCTTGAGCCTTGAAGCAGTCAAGCATGGACACACTATATCAGCTGTTGGAGTGGAACCCTGTACAGGTAGGCTCTACTTTTCAGGGGGGGGGTCTGAATTGAGCGATCAATTATTAGACCCGGACGTCCCAACACTTGCTTCGCAAGACAAACTCAAGGTATCCCCTAAAGGGCTACCTTTCGCGACATGAACAAATGATGTGGACAAACAAGGATCTCAGGACAAAGAGTGCTTTGTAATTTTCAAATCCCAATGATCCCGATGTCCTTCTCTTTGAGGAGGGCGTAGAAGCTGCTGGACGCTTCAGCGGAGGCATGGCATCTAGTTTTGTCTCTGCTGCAAGCCATTCAGTGTATCCAGGATGGTTAAAAGCCATAAAAGCAGTCTTCTCATTTCACTTAATCTCACCTACACTCACTGCGTCTTATGCAAATTCCAGATTTGTTGACAGTCTTCGGAGGCCTTGCGTGAACACCCATAGCTTAAGATGCAAGCAACTAAACTACGGGGAGCCCACAAAAAACAAAATGATCATTCCGCCTGAAGGCTATGTAGACGGGTTGTGAGAGTGCACATCACACGTTGATGCTTCGCCTGCAGACCATGTCTCAACGGATTTGCAAGCTCAACTAGCAGGACAAAGCATTCAAAACCAAAACAGAATGACAGTGCACAGCACACTGCACAGCAATGCTCACTACCTCTGCAGCCATACAAATTGCATCGCCACGTGCGGCCCAGTCGCCTCAGAAAGCAAAAGCTGGAAGCGTTGAACCCGCATGAAAAGTGTCAATCAAAGACCTGTCGTTACTGCTAATTCAATTTATATACCCTGGAAGTCAAAGACCATTTTAAAAAATGGTTGATCTGGTGTAGTGTAAAACCCTTAGTAAAAAACAATGGTGGTTCGGTAAACAATGGTGGTTCGACTTCCAGGGTATATATACGTTATTTCAAACTATCCACAGCCGGACACTTCAAAACAGCGCTTATATTTGCTCTGAACAAGTGTCAGCCTAAACGAGTTCGTGAGCGGAGAGTGCCACCACGAGAGGCCGAACAAATTCCCAACAGCTGAACGGACTCTTGACTATTGCTGATTGGGGGATGTCTTGCAATCTTTTGCTCCAGCCAACGCTTAAAGCCTCAGCCTTTTCTAGGAATGCCTAAGAGCTTTTGCAGCACTGGCACCTTGACTTGGAACAAACTCTTACCCAGTCGCTTTAACTGAACTTGACACCTCCACTACCTCTACCTCTACATTTTCTGGGTTGGAATCCTTGGACTGCTGCCATACATGCCAGAACCCGTGACTGAGACCTTGTTTTCGTTTTGAAAAGAAGCAACTTAGGAGCGAACATACGAGACCGGAACCAGTCTGGCACAAGGACCAAAGATTCATCAACTATCAGGTGTTGCTGAATCATGAAACACAAAGAGGTTTGAGCAACAACCCTGGATTGGAGCGATTGTATTGATTTGCCTCCTGAGGTTCCTTGAAGAACTGTTCCACTTCCACCTGCACCGGCTCTTGAGGCTCCTTGAAGGGTTAAGATTTTTGGATCGACTTTGATCCGCTACGAATTGTCCAAGTTCATCCCATCTCAGGCCCTGACACAAACAGGTGCTCCTAGGGCCAACTAGCAGAACGATGCCAACAACAAAAGCAAAAAACTGGTGAAACCGACACCGAAAATAAGGTGAATTTCAATGCTGACCTCTGTAGCCACTTCGCCGGAAGCCAGGCAAATTACTTTCAACAAAACCTGTTTCCTGGCAACAGATCAAGGAAATAATGCGAAATGGGCAGTGAGTTTGCAGCTTGGTTCCGCAAATTGTTTTTTCGCGCGACAAGTATGCAGCAATGGCATTGAGAATCTGAAGACCTTCGCTAAGGCGGCTGGAGACTTCTCCTTTGAAGAGCCAGCAGCCTGAACTAAAAGCCTGAATCAGTGTCGTCTTTGCACCAAGTTTGCCTTCTGAGCCATAGTCAGAGCCTTGACAAAGCAAAACCATGTTACATTCCACAATATTTCCGTCTTATAACAAGGACAGATGCTGACCTCTCCCGTTGTTCTGTGTATGTGAGTATGTGTATGTATGTATGTATGTATCTATCTATCTATGTATGTGTGTATGTATGTATGTATGCGTGCATGTATGTATGTATGTATGTATGTATGTATGTGTGTGTATTTTCTAGAGTTCTTTTATGTCTGCACGAGTCTCAGCCGTTTTGGCGGGTTGCTCGGGTGGCAACTATGCTAGGCCGTTGTTGGTGCCATAGTGCTCGTGGTGCTAAAAGTAGTCCACTTGGTACGGCGGGTCCATGCCTTGCATAGGGTCATCCGTGGAGCTTTCTTCTTCACCACTTTCCAGCTCGCTTGTCCTCTTTTTCTCGTCTGCGGTTTGTGGCTCTGTGCCCTGGAATGGAAATCGACGGTGCAAACCAGGCCAAGGGACAGCCGGGAGGTTTATGGCAACATCTGAGCCTGCTGGAGCAGGATCGTCTGGATTGTGGGCAGCTTCACTGTAAGTGAGCTTTCTTGGCGCAAGTGGTGATGCAGTGTCATGTTGTTGCATCTTCTGCGGGGTCACCATTGTGGGCTGGGTTTCATGGCCTGCTGGTGGTGATCTTCAGGTTGGGACTGACTGGCCTTCTCAGCCTGTCTTCTGAAGATTTCGACCAGAGGTGGGGAGCCACTGACAGCTGCTTGTCCTCGATGATCGAGACTGTGAGCGCTTGGTGGATTCTCTCTCCACGTGCACTCCATTGGAATCCACTGCGGTGCGGTTCCCATCGGTGGTGTGGAGCGTGCCAGGCTTTGTGGCACTGCTGTACCAGCTGTTTCTTGTGCTGTTTGGTCTGCCTGCCCTGGTGTCTGGGTGGTTTCTGGTGAATATAGCGGTCCTTGGCTGCATAGATCTTGGCTGGACTGGCTGCTGCATGTTGGTAGATCTCAGTGTGAAACCTGCTGCCATTCAGTGGCTCTTCGATCATGTAGTACCGCGTGTCTTTGTCGTCGCTTGAGGTGTGGTTCACTGCCTGGGGCTTCCGGCGTGCGGGTGTTCCTGCTGACATAGACGACTGTCACCCGTCGGAAATCTTGATCTGTTAGGCCGTCGAAGAGGTCCAGGTAGGGCTGTCTATGTCTCACCTGAGTCCATGCTTCCCACAATGACCTTCACCTGCTTTTGTACGCTTGGCCAATGCTCGAGTTTTGTTTTGTGGGTTGCTTGGAATGCCAGTGATGGCCCCCAGTCTTTGAAGTTGTCCCAAGCTCATTGTGTGGACACACAGGCCAAAGACCCAGAGCTGGCTGCGCTGATCATAGGTGGAAGGAGTGGCATCCAGCGTATTAGCCCATCCCTGATGCTGATGGGCTGCCAGCACCTGTAGGTCCTGCCAGGTTCCACGCCCTTGGCACTTCATCATGTCGAGTGATTCGCTCCGCCCATGCTGGTTTATGCCCTTGTCCCTGACGCCATTTACACAACCAAAGGATGTGCTTTGGGGTGGCTGGGACTCCGCAGATGGGACATTGCTTGGGCTTGCCATCTTCTCGAAATTGAACAGCTCCTTGCACCCATGTCTTGAGATGGGTCCTGCGTTCGTTTGGCAGGCGTTTGATCTGTTGGTAGTACACACGCCAGTCCAGCCCAGTGATGAGGTGGTGGTGACGCGGTCTTTGGGCCAGTTGGGTAATTCGTTGGCTTCTGGCTTCCTGGAGTAGAGTTTTCTCCAGCTTCTCCTGGATGGAGATCTCATTTTCCATCAGCAGCTGAGTGGCTGGAGGTGTCCATCTGTGGAGGGCCTGCGCTTGCCAGTTCCATTCTGTCATGTAGGCAATGGTGGCGGCCATAGGACCTTTGCAGTTGATGGTGGATCTGCTGCCAGGCCTGCTCCAAGTGTGGAATCTAGTGTGTAGCGCTTTGATGCGACGCACAATGATCTGGTCGGCTGGGTCAACGTACTTGTGACTGTGGATGTCATAGGTGGCGTCTAACATTCCACCTGCATGGTGTCCAAGGTGTGTGGCCATAGCCTGTCGAAGAGCAGTTCGGTATCTGGGCGCTAATCCTTGGCCCTCTAAACCCCACAAAGCTACTGGCTGGATGCCTCCTTTGTGTAGCCGGAGTCGGACTCGAAGCGACGGAATCTTCGACGTCCGCAGCTTGATCTTTCTTTGTATTTGGCCTTGGCAAATCTCTGTCTCACGACTGGAATTCTGCTCCGCCTGGTTGCTTGGTGATCAACTCCAAGATCCCTCATGACAGAGGCTACTGGTGGCTCATGTGGTGTCAACGGCCGTTTCGCGCCGTTGGCATTGGTACATGTTGGCCGTAGTCCACCCCCATTCATGGAGATAGGCCAGGGTGGCCGCCATCGGTCCTTTCACATGATACCATGGGCGCTGTCGCTTATGCAGCTGGTTCCTGAGAGTGATCCAGGCTTGCTCAATGTGGTGGCGGTGGTCTGCAGGCCAATGGGTGATGAGGCTTTGATGTGTTGGATGATCACCACCTGGTCCCCCGGGTCGGCAAATTTGGCGCTGACTTGGTCATAGATGACATCTTGGAGCCCTCCCTGATGTGATCCCAAGTGGACGGCAAGGGACTGTCCAATCCTTGGCCTTCGAATCCCGAGAATGCCACTGGTTGGACTCCACCTCTATGTAGCCGAAGCTTCGGAGATTGGGCAATTTGAGGCTGCGTAGTTTAATCCTCCGCTGCCTATTCTTGCGGAATCGTTGCTGAAGTGTGGCTATCCTCCTCCTTCTGCCGGCTGAGTGATCTATCCCAAGATCTCTCATCACCGTTTGAATTGGCGGGTCTGATGGGCTCAGCAACTTGGCCAACTCCTTGTGGATGGTCTTGTCTGTCACAATGAAAGCCGTTTTGTGGCTGTTGACCACCAACCCCACTGCTTGCAAGCCGTCTCGAAGTTGGTGCCAGGCATGGAGTGTCCACTGTGCTAGGTGTTGCGCATCCTTGTGACTGCCATCAAAGCCGATGTCGTCGACCCATCCATTGAGGTGAAGGTCGGGGTTGTCACTCTGGAATTTGGTGAGGATGGGTTGCAGGAAGGTCTTCGCGAGTAGTGGGGCTTGTGGGCAACCGGCTACCACTCCTGTTGTGACATGGAACCATGAGCTGAGTTCTCCTTCTGCTAGGATGGCTTTGTGGCCTGTGTAGACTTGCATTGCAAACTCCAAAGCCAAAGGTGGGTATTGCAAGTCTTGCGCCGTTTGTTGAAGGAGCCAGAGGTCAATGGTGTCGTAGAATGTGCTCATGTCCACAAGCACTGTGATTCCATGCTTGTCCAAGGACTTGGCGGTCTCCTGCCTCAGGAGGCGTTCGAGAGCAACATGGAGCGCCGTAGCTCCTGGGCGTGCTCTGTCGTAGTCCATGGAGGGTTGAAGATTTTGCTGCCATGCGTCCAGGGGTGGTTTCCTCGTCCGACACCAGACTCTGTAGAGCACGCTGGTGAGCGTGATGGGTCTTTCGACCTTCTCATTCTTGGCCAGCGTGACCACGAGGCTCATGGTGAGCTGTGTGGGAAGCTCTGCCTTTTCTTCCATGGCCTGGAGTATTTCCAGGAGTGGTTGGAGTGCTTGTTTGGGCGCCGTGCGGAGCAGCTGTGTGGTGATTGCATCTGGGCCGCATGCTTTATCTGGCAACTTTTTCAAGGTCTTGCCAAGCTGTTCGTATGTCAGTGGCGCTGGTTGGGCTGCTTGCTGTCTGGCTGCTTCTTGCAGAGGAAGTCTCGTCATGTTGTTGCGCTTCGTCAAATTGCTGCTGCACGGTGTGCTGTAGCAGCTCGAAGGTGCGAGTGTCACGATATTGTTGCCAGTGTTGTTGAGTGTCTAGAAACTGAGCCCAGGTTTGGTCGCCAATCCAGTGGCGCTGGACCTGTTGGAGGGCTTGGTTGAGTCCTTTGATGGCCCCGGGCGCTTTCGTGGGCTGGTTCTGGATGATGTTGAGCCTAGCCTGGATTTGTTCCCAGTAGGCCGCTTTTCCTTTCTTCCACATCCCACCCGATGTGGTTGGTACCAATGGCTGGTATTGCGTGGTCAGATTTGAGGCTCTGCCTCGCGGTGCGCATGGGTGTTGTTGCAGGAGGTACTGTTCCGCGATGGACGCCCAGTCTGCAAGCCCCCTGGCACCCTGGTTTGGTGCGCTCTCATAGAGGGTGAGGTCTTCTACCTGCGTGACATAAGCGCTCCAAGCCGTGAAGCCGATGTCCGGCGCATGAGGTAGTGGTGGGAAGGTCCTGAGTTCGTTGTAGTTCCTGAAGTCCTCCTCTAGTTCCAATGCATAGGTTACCAGGCAGTGTGGTCGCCAAGGTACCGCCCATTCGGTGGTCATGGATGCACAGGAGGCAATGTTTTGACGCATGGTCAACCGTGTTCCCGTTGAGCATGGTTGCATCCGGTGCAAGGATCTGCCAGTGGAACTTTGAGCTGAGTACAGTGCTCTGGAAGTGTTCTGGGTGGTTGTTCCAGTCTCCCACAAGGATAAATTGCCGTGTTGTTGCTTGGAGTAGTGCCAGTATGCGGGCCAAAAGCTGTGAGTTTGTCGGTCCTTGGATTGTCTCGTTGGTCTTGAAGTAGACCGCAACGACCAGGATGGATCTGGCTTTTGCTTCCCAGAGGAAAGCCTGGTATCCACACCCTTCAATCTCAAAATATTCTCAAGCTTGGTGAGTCCATGAACTGTGTCATGGATGATGAGGATGCCACCATGGGTCCCTTCATTGGAGCTATTGGAGTGCGCAGGGTATCCAAAGGCATGGCGTCCTCTCACCACATTGCGTGATGCTTTTGTTGATCGAGGTGTGTCTCAATGAACACATCGATCTCATTGTCCCTTGCCCAGTACCAATCAAGGGTGTTCTTGCCGAAGGCTGTGATGTTGGCCACATTGAGTCTCATCTGCTCTTGGGTGAATCTGGCCTTCTTTGGTGGTGTGCCGTGAAGCGGTGGACGGCAGTCCGGGCTCTCCGGTGGAGGTAAAGCCCTGGCAATTTGCCTTGGTGTGACCAGGATGCCCCAGACTTGCACTATCTGGCCTGCAATTTGCGGCGTCAAGAAGGGCAGAACTTTCGGTGTGGCGCCATCATCTGCTATCCGCATCAGATCCTTGTAGACAAGGATGGCATAGTAGTGGCCTGTCTCGTGTGTGGGTCCTCTGTGGCCTACGTATGCCATGGGGATATATTCTGCCCTGGCCCTGGAAAATCCGTCCAGGGATCTGGGGACCGTGTGTGGTCCGTGCGGGTTGAGGGCCCGTTTGTGTTTGGTGACCGCGCCTTCAATGGTGACCGCTCGGTTGATGTGGCTCACGAGGACCATCTTGTCATCACTGAGATATTGCCCCAAACCTTGGTTCGCCCAGCAATTCAGAAGCTCTTGCCAGGTGATTTCATCAAGGAATTCATCCGGGTAGTCCACAATGAGCGGCAGTTGGACATGCTCGGTGACATAGCCCCCTTCCTTGATCTCTGTGTAGCGGTATTGCATCACTCTGGTTTGGGAGTGTATCTAGAGGGAATGCACGAAATGTGCTGCATCTCCTTCCATGTTAAGGTTGTGCTTTTGCCATAACCTGTGGAGTCCTGGTAGGCGTTGGATGTCCACAGGTTCAGAAAGCTCCAGGGATGTTTGTACCGCATCCTTGATCACTCCCCATGGTTCTCTGTTGAATTCCGCCAACACATCCAGCAGAACGCACGCCAGGGAGCATTTGCGTAGCATCTGGAACTGGGGTTCCCCACCGCCATACTGAGGTTCTGCAAAATCAGGTCAGTGGTGGAGGCATAGTAGTGTGTGCTCATGATGGCGCTGTTCCTCTCACTGTCAAGGGTGGAGCTGGGTTGATCCGGGGCTCCTCCAGAGATCGTCAGGCGGTTGCCATGAGAGGTATCGATGGCGCGCAAGAGGTTGCGCTCACGATTCAAAATTGTCATGTTCGTGCGACATTCTTGGCTGTGGTGTTGCATGTCCCCTGCAACTGTAAGGCGCCCCAATGGAGCCAACTAGAGGTATTGTCTGCTCAGTCGTAACATGTGTTTCTTCCCCAACACCTGTGTCAACTGAGTGCTCACTGAGATCATCTGAGCCTGACCCAGCACGGCAAACCCATTTTGGTGGTTGCGCTGTCCCGGCTCGATGTTCTGTCAAAAGCATTCCCCAATTTTGTCTCCTCCAACAAAAAGACCTTCCGAGCCTTCCCATGACCTGTCATCATCGTCCGGGACGGGAATGGTCCACCCCTGGTTGCTGTCCCTTGGGTAGGTGTTACCCACAAGATGTTCAAGCTGTGTACAAAGGATTCGACCGCCGTTGGGATCTGCTCCGGCTCTCTCGGCTAGGAGATTGGCATATTGTGCCTTGACCCCATCGATGCGGACTTGGAGCTGGTTCTTCTTGATGGACATGTTTTTGAGCTCCGTCACCTGTCCCTTTAGTTTCCCTGCAATCTCTCTCTCGGTGATGGGCTCGGGCGCCGTGAGCTTGGACGCAATCTCTTGTACCTGAAGTGGCAGCGTGGCAATGCATCCATGTGGGTCTTCAAAAGATCCTGCAAAGCCGGTTCTTCCGGGGCCAATGCCAAGAGCCTGAAGCTTCGTCTGAGTGTCTTCTGGCAGTGCCATCCAGCTGTTTGCCAACAGATCTGTTGCTTCCTGTTGCACCTTGGATTTCTTTAGTGGCCTGATCTTGGTGAGCCCGGGAGGTGATTCTAGCCATGTCGGATTGCCTGTAGCCCGATTGCTTGGCTTCCCATAGCCTTTGTTCCGCACTTGCGGCATTTGGTGCCACTGCTGACCTTGTCTGTCCAGATCCAGTTTCCACATGTGCCTTTTTGGCACACCATGTAGCTTCGTCCCCACTGCATGGCTGTGGCACCGATCACGTTCTGGCCTGGAAAATACTTTATCTCAAAGGGATTACTGGCAAAGTGGTAGAAGACAAACTCCCCAAAGAGGTTGAGGAATGAAGAGCGGGAAGACCAGGATGCCCTGAAGGTAAATCAGCGCGAGACACTGCCAGGCACCGTAGAGGTGACAGTAGCGGTCAAGAAGGAGTCCAGAATTGCGGGCAAAGAATGTGTGCTAATCGAGGATCTCCCTGGGCTGACCTTGTCCTCAAACGGCAGACGATGTTCGCTCGGGGCTGATTGCACTTGCTGGACTTGGTGGGCGGCCAGCTTGAGCTTAAATCTTGAGCCATGTATGTATGTGTGTATGTATGTATGTATGTGTGTATGTATGTATGTATGTATGTATGTATGTATGTATGTATGTATGTATGTATGTATTTTTTCTAGAGAGGACTTTTGGTTCTGCCGAGTCTGCGAGGGCCGTTTTGCCCGTTCCATAGGCCGCCACTGGTACTAGAAGTAGTTCACGCTGTAGCCACGTTTCATCAAGCTCATCTTCAGTGGTGCTGTCAGGTGATGGTGTTGCCTCTGAGGCGCTTGCCTGCGGCTGTGCACCAATTGGTTGAGCTTGGATGCGCTGAGACTTCTTTGTTCCTGCTGATAGGCTGGGTTTCATGGCCTGTTCAGGATAGGATGTGTCTTCAGCTTCAGTGAAAGATGTGGCGAAATGGAGCCTCCGTGGCGTGGGCCTTTCTGGGACCCTTCTGCCTGCAAGCTGGGTGAGAAGCTCTGCGCTGTACGTTGCGTTGCCGTACTGGTTTGCCTTGTGAAGTAGTCAGTGAGTGGCGGCGTTCCTGCTTTAGCTGCCCCTTTGCATGGTCTTCGGATGGCAGCTGTGAGGATCACTCTCTGCTGAGCATCAAGATGCAAACTCAGTCCGCATTGGGCGCAAGAGACTGTGCCTCCTTTTTGCCATAATGCATGGCTGTTGTGCCCCTCATGTGGTTGAGTGTATGCCTGATCCAGGCATTGACCTGTGACAAAGGCTTGGAAGGCCTGTTCATTGCTGCGTTTGTGGACATTGGAGCCACACTTTACACACCGCACATACCCAGCTGTTTCTTCAAGCACGCGCTGGGTGGGTGTTGGAGCCTCTTCTTGTTGCTGTTGCAGCAGTTGTCGGATGACCTGTTGTCTGGTCATCTTCTTTGGCAGGGGTTGATGGGGACTTGCTGGCTCTGGGAGGTGTTCTTCAATGCTGAGTTGCGGGCATTCTTCTTGGAGACGTTCTTCTATCACTTGCACAGTAAGTGCCTGATGTACTCTAATGCCGCAAACTCCACATTGGTGACCGCTTCGATGAGGCGCCCATCTGTGGTACGGAGCTGTCCAGGGTTTGTTGCACTTGGCTATGAGCTGCTTCTTGTATTGCTTGGTCTGTTTGCCCTGGTGCCTGTTTGGTTTCTGGTGTATGTAGCGCTCTTTATCGCTGTAGATCTTGGCCAGACGTGCTATCGCATGGGTGTATATGAGCTTGTTGTCCTCATCAAGCACCCTCTGCCACTCCGCACGTTTGTGGTCTTGAAAGTCTTTGGCACGCTCCCAGGCAGCCAGGGCTGCATCCCTTTGGCGCCTGCGTAACTGCGGCTCACTGCCTGGTGCCTCTGGGGAGCTTGTGTTCCTGGAAACATAGAGGACCGTGACTCTGTTGAAGTCTTGCTCAGTGACATGTTCAAGTTGGTCGAGATAGGGCCCCCTGTGTTTGGGTTGTGTCCATGCTTCCCATACAGTGACCAGCTGGACGATGACACGCACTGCCGTGGTGGTGTGTTTTGCCAATGCCACCAGTCCCTCCATGAGTGCTCTGGCTTTTGTGTGAGGTTGGTTTGGCGTGCCCGGTGAATGCCCACCCTTGGTACTGGACCAATGGCTGCAGCCATAGCTTACCTGATGGAGTGGCAATGGCAAGTCCATGAATTCAGCAGATGGCACCGTCCTGCAGGAAGGTATTTAGTTGAGAATGAGATCAGCATTCGAGATCCATGGTGGAAGCTTGAACGAGCTTTGCTCCACGAAGCCAAAGCCCAGCGCGCAGCACGGCTTGCCAGTATCACCAACACCTGGTCGCCGGATCAGACTGGCGCACCTACAAACAGGTGATCCGCACCATCCCAGGGGAACACAAGCCACACCTGCGCACATGGACCCAGGGAGCAATCCACTTCAAAGAAGCTGGCCAACCCAAACTTTGCCCCATTTGCAAAGTTCCGGCAACAACAACGCACATACTATGGCTGCGCCAATGGCACCAGACCCAGCAGCGCAAGCCGATGCCCTCTGAATGGGCAGAGCGCATTCTGTCGGATGATGAAACCCCTCTGTGGACGGCTGGTTGGATCCCTTTGGAGCCGCAAGAAAACAAGCAGCGCCAACACCCCTACCATGGAAATGGAGCTTGGCGGGATCTACAACCTCTAACCACGTACCATGGGTGCTGTTTCTGCTGGAGCTGATCATGAATCTCTGCCCATGCTTGCTCTAGGTGTTGGATGTGCTCAGGCGGCCATGTGTGGTAGAGCTGGTGCAGTGCTTTGATGTGGTGCAAGATGACGTGGTCTCCAGGGTCAATGTACTTGTTGCTGCGCAAGTCATAAGTGCTGTCCAAGAGTCCTCCTGCGTGATGACCAAGGCGTGTAGCAAGGGCTTGTCTGAGGGCCGCGCGGTATCGTGGGGCCAGTCCTTGTGCTTCAATGCCCCAGAGGGCTACCGGTTGTATGCCTCCTTTGCGCAGGCGGAGCCTGACTTTCAAAGCCGGGATTTTCAAAGTTCTCAGCTTCAGCTTCCTCTGCCTGGCCTTCTGGAATCGCTGACGTAGACCTGGTATTCTGCGTCGTCTGGCAGCTTGATGGTCCGAATCATCTCAGCCCAGCATCCAGAAGAGCCACGTGGTGAACAAAGGAAACAAAAGGCCAGACATCTTCTTGAGCCAGAATCGTTTCCACGCAAGAATGGAGAGCCCGTTTGGAGAAAAATACTCTCGCAGCCTGCACTAGGTCCTCGTCATGAACTTGCAGCTTGGAAATTGCTTGAATCATAGGTCGTAGTGGCAGCTGTGGCCTTGTCTCGCAAAAAGCACACCGTCGCAAAGGGAAAAATCCAGCAAGGTTCACACTTGGGCAGAAGGAATCGCCTCCCGTTGGGCTGCCATAGTTGCTTGAAAAGCGAAAAGTGCGGGCTAAACCGTCTGTTGAGAACGTTTTGGGAGGAGCAATCGGCCTTGCGTGTCATTTCAGCAAGTGACAATGGTTTCAATGCAAAGAATAGAATAGAGCAAAGGCCTTGCAATCTCTTGCGCCAGGCCAGCAGCTTCGTAGCACTGCGCATCCTTGACCCACACTGGCACCATCCCAACCAAACAGAAGCGAAAGGCAATGGGGGCAACAATACGGCAAAAGCACTGCTGTCGGGGTAGGTTTGATGAAGGGGAGAATGGCTGCATCAGTCAGCACTACTGCGCTTAACTACATGTTTGCATACGAGACCCCGTGCGTCGAAAACTTACAAGTGCGAGTTCAGCAGCCGCCCACGGCTGGGCCGGGCACAGTAGCCCAAATGACTGAAAAATCCAAGCAAGAGGCCCCAAAATGAGCATAGAGAGATGTAGAAGTTTGAGCTATCCATAAATACTGAAATGCATGTAGAGGTCTCAACGCCTAGATGTTCTGTAGGGCTAGAAAGTGTTGTTTGGAGATCTGGAGGCCTGGCCTGGAGAGCAACAATGTGCTTTTGTACATGAGCGCACATATGGAACAACATACACGCGTGCGTGAGAACACGCATAGCGCCGCCACGTCATCCGCACTTCACCTCAAGGTCCACAAAGCCCTGCGCCTGCCACAAAACCTGCACTTCTCACATCGCGCAGGTCTGCCGCAACACAAAAACAGCAGAAAGATGCCAGAACGCAGCAGCTTCCACTCCAAGACTGAAAGTAAAGCCACATGTAATGCCCGAAGGTCACAATTCTCTGCGCCTGCCTGCGCCGGCCACGAAATCAAAGCAAACAGGCACATCGAAGTAGGGCCGCTCCGATTGCCTGCCACCACGAAAAGTCGACTTGAGACCACCAAACAGCAGCAAGTCCGGAAATGCGTGCGGCGCCGCAACGGGAGCACAGTTGAAGAGCGGGCGCTTATTCGGCGATTCGAAATGCACGCTGAAGATTTAAAAAAGCATGAACTTAACCATTGCGTTGGACGAACCTCTAATTCAGGGAAGTATGATACGCGTATATGTTTTCCGCGCGCGCCGCTAAAACAAATTATATAATTACACGCGGTTTGAAGATAGAACTGCAAGAAATGCATCGTTTCGCTGCTCTCATGCACGAGACATGCGCCGCGTCTGCAGCGTGCCCCTATGGCTTCTCTCGAGGCTACTATCTCTCTAAAGGGCAGCATCTATTGAAAGTTAATTTGGGAATCCTTGACCAATCTCAGCCATCGTTTCAGGCGACACGTCAAAATACAGGAGCGATGTCCTTCACGCCCTGCCTCCTACATGCTTTGAAAATATGACATTGAACATCTCCAAACGTTTTCGTGAAAACTGCTGGCTAAGCTGCTCCAAAGGCAATAATGAATTTCGACGCTGCCTGCTGAGGTAAAGGCCTGCAATCTCAACACAAAGGGCTCACATATGTCCTCACGATGTCTGCCACCAAAGTTTTGTCACGCAATTGGTCTTCTTGATGACCTGATGTCGCTAGCTCAAAACGTCCCGGCCTTGTGGCAATACTTTCGAGCGGCAGACGGTGCTTCAATACCTCCAACCTCAACACCAGGACACAAGGGACCAAGCACGTTACACTTCACCAGGGCACTATCTGAAATTTATGTTCCTTTAACGATGCGTTCACACAACCTCATTCCTTTCAAGCTCGCTAATCGGAGCATTGTGGGTCGGTCTGCGGCGCTTTCAAGTACAAGGTCTATTGACCAACAACACGCCAGCAAGCGGTGTGTCTTGAATCGTGCATATGTTGAGCCTGTGCTTAGCGCCAACAAACCTTAAAGCTCGACATTCTGAGTAGCTTGAATAAGCTCGACACAAGTCTGCGAAAAAGAAATTGATTTCTTCGCTTAAAGTACTGCAGTCCTGACAGCACCGCTAAATCAAATTCTCTGGAAGTTGTAGTCGTGGTCTCTAATAAAGCAGGCTAAGTCCTGTGGAGTGTCTTTCAACACTTCTGCGAAAGCTGAGGCTAAATTGGCAGCCTGCGCACACGACTCCAAGAATCGCTTGCTCAGTAGTCTTGCTTGACCTTTCGGACTTGCGTTCCTCGCTCAGGGAAACGTCGAAGAGCTTGCGCCGCGCATGCTGCGCTAATGCGATCCAAACTGCCTTCTCAACCTGCACAAAGCCATTGGTAGCTGGCTACGACACGCAAAAGTTCCCAAATCTGAACCACTCAGGGCGCGGCAAGCCCTTTGTACCCGCTCTTTGCTAAAGCATACCTCTCTGACACGAACATCCAACAGACACTGTGACAGTCTGACTGCACAGGCTGTTGCGGCAAGCGCTGGGCGTTAGCAATACACGCACAGCTGCAGCGCGATGCGCGAACAATGGACCACTCACACGCAACGTGTTCCACGCGCAGTGTGTGGGGCCCCTCAAACAGTGCGTCGCACGAAGAGACTTAGTCTTAGGGGGTTATGCGGTAATACGAAGTTGGGCGGTGAATTCTGCAGCTATCAAACATCAAACTCCAAAGAAACTCCTCACATGCACTCTTCGAGCATGCTCGTTACACGCACCCTTTCAAGCACGCTCAAGTCTGCGCTGCAAAAGTGGCTTCAATTGGGGGCTTTGCATCTTCAAACGTTCCTGCAGCAAGTTTGCTCACTGCGATTGCTGGAGCTGCCGGTCATTGCGACGCACCAGACCTCACATGAAGCCATCCAACTTGCCACTGACCCTGGCCCAAATCGCTGGCCACTTTGAGCTGAAGGCAAGTACGCGCTTAGCTTTGTCTTACTGGAAGGTTTGCGCTTTCCAGCTTTTCAAACTGGCAGCGGAGTGATGTCGCCCCCTTTTGTGAGCGGATGAAGGCACTCCCAAGGAAGAATAGACTTGGCCCAGTTGGTCTACATTTTGGTAGACCGGGCCGCGGAAGTCTTTAAAAGGAAAGGTGAAGAAAAGCAGAAAGGCAGCAGCTTCGGATGAAAAAGAAAGCGCTTGAACTACTCCGGAAAAGGACACTCGAAGAATGGCTCAAAGAAAGGAGCGAAGCCAAGAGTGATCTACTTCACTGCGCGCCTGCGGAACACGAACGACTACGTGGTGGAGGATGATCAACACTGCCGTGCGCTGGAGACTGCTTGCAACTGCCAGCCGACGAGATTGATCAGGACAGACTTGCGGTCACTCTGTCCTCCACGTGAACCGTGGACATCGTCCAGCCGATGACGTTGTTCATGTCGGGCGACTTTCCACACACTCTGATCGCTCTCAAAAGTCTTCCACACACACACACACTCCTCACGCATACGCTTTCCTAGTGTTGTGAAGTGGCCGCGCGTACTGGTGAAAGTCGCAGGCCCTGATCTTCTTCGCTTTTCCTGAGGTCTTCTAAAACTCGTGAACCAATCCCTTCAAGGGCCTCGACCTCTTTCTTCAGGCCTGCCCAACTCACGCTCATGTCAGCAAACAGAAAAAACAGGGCTATATACTCGTCGCGCAGAAAGAAAGCAAGGGACTTTGGGTCGCAAGATGAGGGTAAGGCTTGGATGAATTTTGTTTGGTGGACGATCCGCCCGCTCGCGCTCAATCAAAGGTGTGATGAGACAGGTCTCAAGCACATTCCCCAGGAAGCCGCAGAATCACCAGCCCAGCATGTAGAAGAGATCGGAGATGAAGAGGAGACAAAGCGAGACAAGCTCATCTGAGCCCAGCGCGTCGAAACCCACTATGACCATTGTGGCCCAAACTGAGGCGCAACTTGAACAGGCAGATGCTTTAACAGCCGGGACATTCCACACCAAATCAAAAGAGTGAAAGCCAAAAGAAAAAAGGCTGGATATTGTGCGTTTCAGTGTACCTGAGATTTGACTTATACTTTAGAATCCAAATGTACTCCCGGCATCGGACATCAAAGAAGACCTGGATTTTTGCGGTTGGCAAACCTGTTACGCATGTAGAAGCTAAAAGGGGTGCATTTTGTATAGTCTAGCGCGGTGATGATGAATGCCTCAATCACCTTGCATGTTCTGTGTCACCAACGCACCTTAAAATCACCTGTGTGGAAGGTATAAACACCAGCAAGCTAATATGGTTTACATGCAATTTTTTTCCGCCTCCCCCCCACACCCCCTACCGACTCACTTCGTTCGCATAAACTACCTTCAGCTTAGCCTATCGGCTGTCTTTCGTAACATCGAGCGCCAAATGGAAGACAAAGAGTAGCACAGCAGAATCACCTCACCCCAGCATCCAGAAAAGAGATGAGAAACCAAGGGCGACAAAGGAAGACAAAGCAGAATCACCTCAGCCCATCATCTCAGCCCAGCATCCAGAAGGGAATGGGACACAAAGGGAGACAGGGGAGACAAGCAGAGTCATCTCCAAAAGTTTGCAAAAAGGCAAAGACAACCAGGGTGTATCTGGCGGAGAAAAGCTGTACAGGGCCCTGCACTCCATGCTAGAGCCAAAAAAACAACAAAGGACTCCAGTCCTGGAAATCATCGAGATGTGTGGTCCCTTGATGACAATACTTTACAGACACGTGTGCACGACGGCTGACATGCCAGAGGCAATCTCAAGCCAATCATGCCCACGTGAGAAGGCTCAGGGGTCATCCAACTCGGAGCGTCGGACCAAGGGCTGCTCTTGCGGATCAGTACACAAGCCTCTTGGAGCAAAGTGCTCCCAGAGGCAGGACCAGCCGCACGGCTGATGCGGTCAAGAGCCTTGATTGCTTCCGGCGCCCAAGCACCTGTGGTTTCTGCCACCAAAGGAACTCCACACGCTGAGCAGCACAGGCTTGAGCAGTGTCAAGGTACGTCCTTTTTTGTGTTCAGTGTACAGCGAAGCAGCCGAAGCACCCCATGCAGACGTCCAACCGCTGCCGCGCCGTGACGGCGAAATCAATTGTTGCAGTTGGGCGGCCAAGAAACGCTGGGAGGTCGGCGGGCACTGCTCACATCATGGGTGCTGAGGCAACAGCAAGCCAGCCTTTTCACGCTCAGGGCGGAGGCATCCGCGCTCAGCCCACTGGTAGATCAAGCCACGCAAGGCGTTGTGTCCCTGGGTTCTCTCGCCCCCTGCTGCGCACATTCCAGCGTGGTGGCCATAGGTGTCCAAGATGGCATCGCACTTGGGGCACCAGGTGTCAGACCCAGACTCCGGGATGCGGGGATGAAAACGGCAGGTTCCATCTGCGTCCGTCCAGACGGGACGCAAGTGAGGAAAGCCCGGCCCCAGGACTAGCCTCAGACAGAAGGGTTGCTTTGTCAACAATAGATGCAGTGTCGAGGTGGGAAGCCCAGCCAGCAGCATCAACTTGCCGGCTCAACTCAGACTGGGCTAGGGCCAAAGCACCAGGCAGTAAGCTGTTGGTCAGGGCCAAGGACAGCGTTCAGCTCAGAGAGGGCCGCTGCAACATCACCCGAACGATCAACCCAGTATCCGTGATCAAGCTCCTGGCATTGCCGGGAAGAAGCACCCACAAAGGCCAAGTATGCTGCAGGAGCATGTGCTCGAGTCGAGCGGCCTGCGCCAACCCACGAGTAGCTTGCTCCCATTGACCAGGTTCAAGGTGGAAGCCACTCAAGGAGCTAAAGGATTAGCCCATCAAAAGTTTCCAAGGCTGCGGCATGTCCTGCAGGAGGGCAGCAGCGCATGGTGTGCACCAGGCGAGCGTAGCCAGCCGACGCCCGGAGCAGTCGCAAGGCCACTTGCGGGTCAGGCAATCCACCAACAGCCTCCAAAAGCTTGCGCGCCCCGTCAACGCGGGCCGCAGCGTGGGGTTGCAGGCGCGCAGGACGGCCAATGGCAGCGCCCGAGAACTCAAAATCGGTCAAAATGCGGCTGCTGCCATCTGCATTGCGCTGGACGTGGGCCAGAGCAGCGTTCACAGCGGCCAGCGGCCCACCCAAAACCCCATCATCAAGGTAGAAGACTGAAAAATCAATGGGCTGAGATCTGAGGCCGGCAGCAAGGGGCTGCACTCCAGCGCTGAACAGCAAAGGGCCTAACGGGTCACCCTGCTGCACTCCACTGGGCAAGGTTGATAGCTGCTGGCGTTGTTCCTCACTCAGGTTGGGTCTAGTTTGCCGGGGAGGCTGGGGCCGAGTGGCCCAAAGGCTGGCCCGCTCACCGTCATGCCACCGTTGCAGCCGCTCTAGGGTGAACGCAGCAGCAGGACGACGGCGCTTGCGGCCAGCTTGTGGGAGCATGAGTAGGTGCACCCAGGCCCGCTCATCGTTGTAGTCGGCCACGGCGGCACAAGCCCGGGTCAAGGCTTGCGCTCAAGCATGTCGAGCCCCTGCAGGCACATGTCGCAGAGTGGGCGTGTTGCTACATTGGATCTCAGTCAAAGACGGCAAAGGGCCATCAGCAGCGCCGCGGGCTGATTCCAGCAGCAGCCCGGGCAGTGGGCCGGCAAGTGGGGTGCACCCCAAAGCGGGTGGCCACCGTGAGACCGCAGACCAGGCATCGCTGCAGATTGCGGGTTTGAAGCCACTCTACCGGGACCCGAGAGCCAGCCAAGTGGGCATCCACGTGCATCCGAAGGGTTCCGGAAGAGGTCCAGCCCCGGCTTCGTGCCGCATCAGCACAGGGGCAACCGGCCACCGGGCAAAACAGACGTTGGCCAGTGACAACAGCTGGTGCCATCGGCGCGTCTTCAGAGCTGCAGCATCCACATCCATGCCTCGCCAATTCGTGCCCGCCGAGGGCGCTCACCATGCACCCAGCGGCGTCCCTGGGGCAGACCTACGTGTTGGGAGGGAGGGCCACCCCCGACCGGAGAAAGCAGAAGGGAGGCGAACCCCCCCGCTCCCCCCCAACGAGCCAAACCGCGAAGGTGAGACCAGTTCCGTGCTGGACCCCCTACATTATGACAATGCACCCTGCATCCAGATTCATCTTGGCCTAGGATCGTTTCTACCAGCAAAAGCTGCTTGGGAAATACAATGACCCGGGCATAGACCCCAGATAGCAACCAACTCTGAAAACAGAAGCACCTGATACAGAAAAATCACCCAAAAACATGAAACCTTCCAGTGACCAAAAGTGGGTCCAACAACACCTCTCCGCGTGACTCCACAAACCTCTCCGTCTTTTCTTCGGGCTTTGCGCCGCAATCTCCGATCAAACAGCCAGACAAGTAAGAAGGCATGTCAGGAGACAAGGTAGCAGCGGCAAACAAAAACGCCGACCACACATGCAATCAAGTGAGGGGGACATCCAAGGAGACAAGTGGGGAGCGGCAGCGGCGGACCAAAACGCTGAGCAGCCACCCAGTCGTTGAAAAGAAAAACACACTGTCCAAGCGTCATCAGAGTATAGTGTCTGTTGTTCGATATACGTCTGCTACTGTCTTGCACTGATGTGATTTGATGCGCTGTTCAAATATTCAGGTCGTCCGAAGAGGTCACGTACTGACCACGATGGTCTGTGATGGCAAAAGTCTCGACTGTCGCCCTCGGCTTTCAAGAGCTTCAGTTTTCCAACCTAACAATTGTTATAGTAATGAATTAATGTATTCACGTGGCGCCATTGCTCCACCAAACTGACAAAGCTCATTGAACCAACTGTGTACTCCGCCTCGGAGCAGTTCCGACAAACGTGAGGTCAATGTGGAAAGCAAACCCTTACCTGTCGAATGGCTGGGAATCTAGCGTCTACAACCTCGCAAATACGTCCCTCGTTGGATTCCTTCCAAACGTGCCTGAGGCATCACTGACAGCTGCCTGGAAAATCTTTACCAAGCATACGGTTGTCTGCGCAAAGTGCATTCCAGTCAGTCGCCTTCGTGACTGCGAAAATCATCAACGACACACTCTGCATGTCACAAGTTGGTGCCAGACGTGTCCTTAGTGCAAAATTGAATGTTGTCAGGCATGAAGCTGAACGGCTGAACTCACTTAAGTTGTACAATCAAGAGAAGTTTGTTCCTAAGTTTGTTTAAAAACTTGGGAGTGATGGAAACAATGAAATAGCTCAAGGTAGCCATGTCCCAGTCTCAGTGTAATGATACAACATAGCATGGCATCTAAGGGATTCACGCGTGCGAGAAAAAATAGAAAAAACACTCAAAAGACTGCTTATGCGCAGAACATGTGATAACGTGTGCTCAAACACTCTAAAAGGTACCCTTGAAACCCTCGGTCGACAGGTTGTGGGACGTCTTCTGCTTTCTTTCCTTCTCTGCTCCTTTCTTACCCTCTATTATCCTTTCAAGAAGTGCAAACAAATGCAGATGGCTCTCGATCCAATTTATTCCCCAAAGAACTGCGCGACCAACTTTCCCCGCTCTGACAATGCGTTCCGAACTTGCGAAATACCCTTGCATTATCCACTGTTTCCCTGGGCTCCCTGAAAATAGAGTAAAGGTGCCTTGGGCCTACCTCTACAAAGATCTGTCGACAACATTAGCATGGGGAACTTACCAGAACTAACAAAACAAAAGTCCTTTCGCGCAACCGCCCTATGTTTCAAGACCACCAAACAGTCAGCCTATGACTGTGGTCCCCTCCACCATCGCTTGCCCATGCCCGTGGTCCTCTCCACCCTCGCTTGCCCATGCACTTTAAAAATACTCCCCTCAAGTCTCAGGAGTGCTGGGTCTTTGCGCCCCACCAAGAACAATAGCCCTGACAAGGCTGGGGTTGGTTTAGTTGACCTTTTCCAGCGGGCTTAGACCCGGATGACTTTGGGTTGTGGTGGGGGCACTAATAACCAATGACCCTTCTGATGAAACAGTTGCTTAGATTGAACATTGAAGTTAGCAGGGCGCCAACAACTATCTGATGCGCCTGGAAGTTAAGTTTCATTATTGCCAAGACCTGGAGCTCACTAAAGTTCCTAGCTTCTTATAGAGAATAGTCCTGCGAGATCGTCAATGTTATCAGGAAGGCGTCAGACTGGCGCAAAGCACCCCCGCACACCTTTGCGCAGTGCAGATTCAATAACGACAAGCCTCCACCTATCCCGCACCCGTGCCGCGCCCACCACTTTACCAGGCTCCCCTTTCCTCCCTTGACCTCTCTCTGGCTTAACTTTTTGCAACTCTGAATTCTCTTTGTACCTTCCTTTGCCAAATCATCACACCACATCACAAACCACCACACGCCGCGCCACACACAATTCCACCACATCACAACGCAACACAACAAGAAACAGCATCCCATTACGTCAAACCAGGGTTGTCGCCACCCATCAGCTCATCACCGTTCACATTAACATCACTCGCATATATAGCTGGATTGGCGTTTTCTTGCAGAAATTATTTACCTGGTACAGTTGCTGAGCGTCTAGCGCACGCTCCCAAACCAACGGCAATAGGCAGCTTTGCAGAAGACCAACTCGAACCTTGCGCGGTGCGAAATCTAAGAAATAAGATGCGTCGCTGTCAAAACAGGCCGGCTGTACGTATGCATGGGCAATCATGGCAAGCCTTGGGTTTTGTGAATGGTGCGAAAGATTTTGGTCAAGCGTTGCCTGCCTCCCAGATTCTGGACGCTGAGAACAACACTGACGAACATCACAGTCACGTGAATGGAGCAATGCCTCAGAAGCCGACAAATTGGCATGAGTGGGTGACACACCTATACATCCACGCGCTCCCTCTCCCCTCTCTCCAAGCCCTTGACTGGCAAGTAATCCTCGCAAGCCACGAAGAAAGGCTCATGCCGAAGAGAGGCTTGCGCAAACGCCTCGTCCAAGCACCAGCCAGTATTTACAACGCACGCAAGTAAACGGTGTTGCAAACAAGTAAGCATGCCGGCTCAGCGTTCAAAGACACGCAAACATTCCTTAAGTCCAAAGCGTCCTGCAAACATGCTCCAGCAATTCCATGCTTCTTTCGCTGCACACCACGTACAAATATCCTGGTTCTCCTGGGTAAAAGCTGTTGAGCCACGCAACCCCCTCAACTTTCCACAGACTGTACCCTCATGAAGAGGTTTGGTGGAGATCCCAACAACAATAACTCATCAATTCACCATCTTTGAACTTTACGTCTTGTGGTTCAATGGGTGTGGAGAAACATGCAGTCCAAGATTAAAAAATACATCATAGACCCCAAATAGCAAAAGATGTTTGTGGGCAGCACCAGCACCCAGGCTCCAAAGCGCACACTGCCATCGACAGCTCCAGCAGCACCCTGGAGCGAGGCCCTGCACTCTGCAGCAGCACGGCACCCTGCAGCATCACCAGCACCCAGGTGTCAAAGCACTCACGACATCTAGCAGAGCCACCCTGCAGCACCCCCCCTCCAGTAGTGGGACCCTAGCACTCAGCCTCCAAAAGCACACACTGCCATCAACATCTGGCACTGCAGCAGCACCAGCAGGGTCCAAAGCACACACAGGTTTCTCTTCCAACCAGATAGCTCACCCCAACAGCTCTCGTTATCTGGAAAGATAGGCTCCAGATTAGATAGCAAAAGATATTTGTGGGCAGCGCCCTGCACCCAGACTACAAGCTCCAAGGCGCACATAGCCATACAAATCTGGCAGTGGGTGGCACCCAGCAGTTGCACCAGCCCAAAATTGAAGCACACACGGCAGCAGCAGGCACCAGCAACCCACACAAACACCTCTTCCTGTACTTGAAGTAAGAGTAAGAACCCCAATCTGGGGGGAAAAGCTAGCTGAGGCAACAACTGCATCAATTGCCGGCCAAGCCTAGCAAAGTGGTCCGGGAAAGAACGCTGAGTCTACGAAGCGCCTCCAAAGTGACCAGCTTTCAACATCAGGCATCACAATGAAGAGGCCCTTTTTCCTCATCTTTGAGAAGGCACTGTGGTGTCTCACTGCACACAATGACATCTCAGGTTGCAAGCCCTTGTGAAACTGAGAGAATACGAAAAACATTTGAATACACTAAAAAACGTTCAAACATACAGTATGTATGATGAAACGCTGAGTTGCTAAATCATTCACGAAATGCCACATCCCCTTGTTGGGGCGTCGCGCATGTACTGAAGCTCTTCGAGCAAGTTTTCTCGCGTGTTTGTGAGCTCAGCTTGGCGCTCTTGGAGCTGTCGAAGTTCTTCAAGCGTCACGGCATATTCATCCCTTGTTGACTTTAAGTGTTGTTCTGTCAATGCAAATTCTTGAAGCAGCTCTTCCTCATTCCATGAAGAAACTCGTTGCTGGCAAACTTCCAAGGCTTCAATGTACTCTCTGCATGTTTCCTCAAGACTCAACGCACCCCCTTTGGACAAGAACGTGTGCGCCGCTTGTGCTCTGGGCCTACTTTGAGGCTGCGCAGGTTGCGTCGCCGCTTGTCTTTGCATTCTGAAGTCTCCAAGCAAGTCACCTGAATCTGAAGACGACTGTGAACCTGGCCTGTTGCGAGGAGGTCCTCCACACACTCGAGATCAAAAGGATACAGTGTGGTTTGAAACTGACGTTGCCACATTGAAGGCTTGATCTAAGAATTGGCTGGGGCAAACACATGAAACTTCAAAACACCTGTCACGTGCACAAAAAGGACCCGGGAAGAATGGCAAACCTTATCCACAGAATCAACCCGAAATGACAGATCTGCCGAACCTGAGCTGAAACACACAAAAACAAGAAACAAGGAGATAAGCGGGGACAAACGACGACCAACTTTTGCGAGACAAGGGCAAAACCTTCTAGCAACACAATCACTTCTACAACGAACAACCTCAGCCCCAGAGTCAGTTGCCCGGGTTTCACCTTGATTCACGTGGGAAATACAAAACGAACGATTCAAAGCTTAGTTTTGCACCAAAGGTGCTGGGCAAGTGTGATTGGGTGTGCTTCGCGCCACTCTACCAGAAACCACTCCGAAATCATTGGCGTGGGGAAGGGAGGGCAGAGATAAGGCAATGTTGGGCAGTGAGCAAACAGTTTTGAAGATGATTTTTTTTGCGTGGAAATTCATTGGTTAGAGGCGTGGCGAAGGGAGACGCTCAGGAGACCAAGGTCGTGGTCTGGAGACTCAGGTTGATGGACAAGGTTGGCACTGAGGCGTTCGGCCAACGACAGCGGCAACGAGCATCAGCCCTTAAATCCGGCACTGGCCCGGCACCTGCGCGCTTCCTTCCTGCTGAAGCACCTCCGACCCACCGAAACCATTGTAATTCACATGGCTGCACATAGCTACACACGGGTGGCTCAAAAGGCATTGGTGGCGCGAGCAACCGCGGCCGGGTTGCTACGCATCATCAGCATTCAGATTTTTTGGGTGGGCTACAAACACACATACAGCACATACATACATACATACATACATACATACATACGTACATACATACATACATACATACAAAAATACATACACCACACCACACCACACCACACCATACCATACCATACTATACCATACCACCATACATCATATCATCCATACATCCATACATCCTCACATCCATACCATACCATACCATGTTGAAAGTGGCAACCTTGGTCATGACTCTTGTGTTTGGTGGCCGCTTCTCTTCTCGAGGGAGGAGTGGGAGGGACGAGCACGAAAGCTCCGTCACTAGCCGCTTCGCCTGCGCCAGGCCCTCAACCTCACCAGAATCACGGGGACATTGAATCACTGGACTCCTTCAGTCACAGGAGCCACCGAACCTCCTGCGGCCCTGGAAGCTGCAACAGACTGGGGATCAACCAGCTTGGCGTGGTGGAGACATGCCTTCACGTTGGCATGGTCACACTGGGCAACAAGACAAACCTCGAATCAGAGGAATTGGAAGTGACCCATTTGCCTGAGAGGGAGACAAAGGAAGGCAAGGGAATCTTCGTTTAGTTCGTCGTGTGACAGTGACAGTGAGGAACGCCGAAAGCAGAAGAAAAAAAAAACAGTACACGCCGTGCTTGCGGAGCTTGGAAACGGGACGGTGTGCGTCCGGAGTACCACCAACACGTCTTAGAGGTAGGTGGCCATCTGGTCCTTGATCTTTAGGGTGGAAACCACCAATCATCCTGCCACGAGTATAAGGGCCGAGAGGAACGAATGGGGACTTTGTCGGCTGGGTCGGTTTGGAAAGGGCTAGGAAGAGCGGTTCTAATTGGGTGTCACGATCATCCGCATACACCGATGTCCTCGCCCAACGAGGCTCAGGATTCAACTGCTCCCTCAGCACATGACCTACTTACAACATGATGGAGATCAAGAAGCAACCCCTCGACACGATGCTTGCTCTGATCAGATCCAATTTTCGTGGGTCGCCGGTGTTCAGGGCGCACAGCTTTTCTTCGCCAACCTCATCAATTCGCCGCGTTTCTGCCTAGTGAAAGTGCTTCAGCTGCTTCAGGAACTGGTCAAGACCCTAATCAATTATTGATGAGTGAACAAGCGGCTTGGGTCACTCACAAGATGATGCGGGTGAGTCAAGGTCAAGACACACCACGAGATTCATGGGTCTTGAGGAAGGAAAACAAAAATGACTTACACAAATCTTGTTATGTTTCTTCTTTTGCACCTCACATTGAAACAACTGCTACTGAGTGTGTTTGTACTTTTATTGAGTGGACCAAACAGCTGGGTTGGAGAGACACGCCATGGAGTTGGACAGATGGCGCCGGCAGACGAAAATCTATTTGGCACTGCGTTGAAGTAAAAGTGAAGCCTCGAACTCTCCGAGTTGCATACAAAGCTTGTTTCCCTCATGGCATCCAAAGCGCTGAAGAAGTGTCCCAAGCATCAGCACTACCGCTCTGATGTGACTCCGACAACCAAGGAACCTCTCACCGAAGGCCTGATGCAAAAGAAGCCAGCCGGCTTGGGCGTCACCTATACTTCACTCACCAAACGAACGGTGAAGGAGCTGAAGTACTAGTACTTGTATTGTCTGTGGCTCACAGCAGGTGTCCACCTCTTGGTTGACTCAACTGCATTGATCGCTCTGCGTCAGCTCCAAGGAGACCACCGAAGTGCGGAGCCACGCGTGTCCTGTTGAGGGATTATCAGACTCCATGTTCGAGCAGTACTCCAAGCGACGGCAGCTCCAGACCTCAAGACCCAGAGGAACTACGAGGACGAATTAAATGTAGCGCCCATCACCGACATGGTGACTCCCAACGTCGAGGTGATCTGGCAAGGAGACCGAAGCGCAACAGCTCCTCACCCCAGCAGCTATCCTGCGCCAGCAACACAACCAACGCCAGCAGCACAGACGCAGGGTTCCATGAGTTCTTCAAGTCTCCCACAGACGATCGAAGAGCAGTATAGCTTTTGATCCCCATAGTCTGCTATAGGAAGCAGCAAGTGTATCATGAACAAGGAGCATCTGGATGAGGTCCGAACAGCTTTAAAGTCCTTCAACCCGTCGATAGATATAGATATTGAGGCCTTTGACTTGACTTTACCTGATGCTCAGACCTCAGAAAACTTTGGGCTAAGAAATTCACACCTGGAAGCCTGATCGCCCGTCATGGGCGCCCTGTGGGCCCTATTCACCTTTGCAGTGAATCATGCCCCGCAATCGAGTGAAACGTACTGCTGAGGTCAAGCGGTTGAAACGGAAAGGCTTCAAACAGACAGGCTGAAGTTCACGAGACGAACAAACAATCTGTCTGGCGACGCGGCAAACCCCAGACTTCAGCTGCTCGGAAGAACTTCCCCTTGGTCGGATATTCGGCCAAAGTGGATCATTGCGCGTTCCGGGCAGAAAATCAGAAAAAGGACACGATTTCAATGCAACAGTCGATCTCTGGCTGAGCGCTTAGCATACATACATACATACATACATACTTACATTACATTACATTACAGTACAGTACAGTACATTACATTACATTACATTAACATTACATTACATTAACATTAACATTAACATTACATTACATTACATTACATTACATTACATACATTACCACGCATACATTGCCATACCATACCATACCGTTACAAGTTAAATTACATTACATTACATTACATCACATACTTTACTTGGCTTTACATTACATTACATCACAATACAATACAATTCCACACAATACAATGCAATACAGCACAATACAATACAATGTATATATACTCTGCGCAGATGAGTTAGGAGTTTGGTGATATGAGTTAGCACTTGCCTGGGGAACGTCTCAACTCATGTGTGCTGGGATGATGGACATGCTCTACAGAGACTGAAGAGATAGGAAACACACAGGGCAACCCTGCACGCAAGTCCCATCTCACAAAGGTCTGGACGCGTTTCGGACACAAGGTTTCAATTGCCGGCGTGCGCATGGCACATCCCGTTGACATTCCATCAAAACCATTCAAATCGTCGCGTTTGCCCACCGCCAACCATGTCGAGTCCATCATAGGCCTCACAACTCCTACCTCATGCGTTGTCATCCACAAAAACCTCTCCAAAGTGCTCCAAGGCATGCTAAAGAAAAAATCTACAAAGCTCATGTTGAAATCATGTTTTCACTGCCTCAGGCTCATGAGCTAGGAGTTATGTATGAAATAATGGCCCAAATGCACTTTTGCACATGAGATAGGACTCATGATTTTTGAGATACTTCCGCCAACTCCTTAGTCATTTTTTGCACGGCCTTTTCCTGTGCAAAGAGGTGCTAGGCGAGGAATTGCCTGATGTCTTATGACTTCTGGCAAGCGCAAGGCTTGGCAAGCCTGCTGCTGATGACGACTTCGTCGTCCACATTCGGCCCTTTGCAAAACATCGGCTGCACTCGGCCATCAC